TGCGAGGACATAAAATATACAAAATTCACAAAGTTCAAGGTTCAATGGAATGCACGACGTATGCGTGATTTTTAATGGAACTACCCAAAAGTATGCAAGGAAAATTTTTAGAAGCATATTGACCAATGCTCGCACGAACTAAAGCCGAGTGGCTACCGCTCTTGGGTAGAGAATGGAAATAAAGATAAGATATGAATTGAAAAGCCCTTGACTGTGAGATTTGCCCGTATGCCAAGAGCTCAACCATTTCTAAATTAGTATTGAGGCTACAGTGGTTGCAGTGTGTATTCAGAAAATCCACCAAGTCGTTTTGAATAGTGCCTCCTGAGCAACTTCGCCAGCTCTTGGGCATTCATGTTTATTTTAGAAAATCTTGCATAGAATAATTGATATAAAGAAAGAGAGAGAAAGATCGTCTAGTTCACCCATCTGCAGTAATAACTGAATAGTTCAAATGCCAACTTGACACAAAAATATGAAAAAACTTTGTTGCCATTCATATGTGCCCCTTAGCCAACTTTCAGCTATAATCCCCACACGCAGACACAAAGCAAATGAGTTTTTAAAAGCGCGCACGTGGGCTGGGTGGGTTGAGTTTGGTTGCGGTGGCAACTCTAGTGCAATTGTTGGGTTCAGTGCATCCGCTTGGCATGGCATTTTTTCATTTGCTACTGAAGTTGGCTGGCAATTTATGTCATGCAGGAGTTGTCAGCAGTTAGAGTCGGGTGTGCAAAAGCAGGAGGCAACTTTGGAAAACTTGATAGGTTCAAGTAGTTTTCAGATGTTCATTTGCTGTGGTACCTTGTGGATGATGACCGTGGCTGTTGTTGTTAAAGCTGTTAAGCTCAAGAAGAATACAAAGCAAAGATATGTCTGAGGTTTGTTCAGTTAGTTTTTAAGCATATCTGCAAGAAAAAGTTGTTGGCATTTAGTGGCTGAGCTTAGCTAACTACAAAAACTACAAAAGTGTCGCAATCTCAAAGTTAAGTACTCAAGCGCTCTGAGTGGCATTTCAGTAAATCTTCATTACAATTCCTGTGACTCCTACAAAACTAGGCGAACATTAGATTATAAGCCGCTTAGTCTGCTCAACTTTCGCATTTTTACCAAATACGTATCTTGACGTTTAGCTAATAGTGCCCAATAGAGGTGTGGAGCTCATTCCGTATGATATTCTACCACACAGACTAGCCTGAGTCTACTCAAACTTGTCCCTTTAAGACGCCCACAAAAGGCCGTACAATGCCACTGTCATTCACGCTCTGTTTGCCGTCAAGAAGCAACAGCAGCGGCAAATGCGAAATAAAATAAATATTGACAAGTGAGTTTTCGTGATTTATGTGGCATGACTCATCGGGCGAAAGTGGAACTGGATGAATTTATATGGCGCGAACGTTGAGCTGACGCGAGTGCCACGACAATTGCCAGACTTTTGGGCAAACAAGAACTGAATATTTGCACAATGTGGATGACAGCCCACATATACATATCCACAGGCACTTAAATAAAACATCAGCAAAGTGCTGGGAGGACAGTCGGGTCAACCATGCCGACCAAACACTAGGCGACTAGAGGCACAGGCAGTGCAATGAACCAACACCAAAGTGAGCAAGAAGCATATGCCCGGTAAATGCAAATCGTTTGACGTAGCCCGGGTGGGCGTGCTTATGGTCAACTGCTTCCCCAACCCGCTGGCACTCTCTCTATATATTCTCGCATTTCGGTCAACATTCATTTGGCAAAAAGAGAAGCATTCACTTGTGCATGTCAATCATTTTTTGACAGCCAACGGCACAGCCAGCACACACATCCATCTGCGCCTCAGAGGCATCTACTCATCTCTCCATCTGCAGCTGCAGCTGCATCTAAACAGGCGACGGGTGACAACCAGACAACGCGTCGCAGATTTGATTGACAAGCTAAGAGACTCTAGAATTTGCTGCGTAGCTTATTTTAATGCACTTAAATCATTTTCACGCATTTTTAATGCAAATATCCATGGCGATCAATTATTTGCATGCCAAATTAATATCTATGCAAATTTACATGTGGCATAATATATAAAATTCATGACTCAATTACAAGCTGTCGCCATAAATTCGTGCAACACACTAAACACCTACTAAATTTACATGTGTATGTGCAACATCTTTTTTTATGTCAGCCCCAAAAAGTTGGGCCAACAATTAATTAATGTATAACGCGTAATTATTTTCGCTCATATATTATGGTCAACATTAATGTTTTTATGTATTTTTTTTTTTTGGCAACATTTATGTGCATTTAAATTTTAATGTAGGCAAAACAAGACTCGTAAACAAAAAGCTGGCAATAAAAATAATATCAATGCCGGCATAATTACTACAGACATTACAGGGCCTCACATTAAGATAGAACTAACTATTAAAAGCGGACTACTTAGCATAATTTAGTTTTGAACTCTATGTTGTTTACAATGCGACCGATTGTTAATTAACTGTTCGGGAAAGGCAATTTTCAATAACCACAAACAATACTGGCTGAAAAGGGGCGACCTTTCGTTAGCATATGAAAGAGATGTTAATATTATTCGTATGAACACGTAATTTCTGACACTAAAAGCTTTCCGCTTAATTATTTGTTCATGCCAAACAGTCGATGTGATTCTGGCAATTCGTAATCTCGTTGGCTTTTAAGGCGAAATTCAATATATTCAAATATATATTTGCATATGACTTTAAATGTAACCCACGCAGGCATAACTCAAACTTAATTTATTATAAAACTTGTCGAAAACTTTTGATAACACCACGACAAGACATTTACCAGCAAGGGAGAGGAGGTAGCATTAGATTGAAATTTCAAAAAAAAATTGCCCATGTGTTTAGGTGTAAAACGTAAAGTGCTGAAAAGGCGTTGGCATCCGCCTTGTCTGCATTCCCAGACGTCCTTTCGAAACCGCACGCAAACTTTTGCAAAATATCAACAACTTTTCGTAGCCAACCAATATTCAATTTTTGCCCAGTTGCTTGGTCCTATTTGAATAATTTGAATATTTCAGCATTTTATGCTTTAAGTACACCCTTTAAAAGTTTTCAATAGGTTCAAAGAGCTTTTTCTTACTTAAGAAATTCATTGTTACATTTATGACAACCGGTTCTGGTTCTTTGGTTCTTAATTGATAATTGTTAAGTCTCCTTGAAAGTGTACAAAATGCCCTAGAAACAGAGCCTGTTTATTGCGCTAATTAGTGTAACCAGGCTGGCAGCTGACAAATGAGCAGAAAGCCAACAAAAATGGTCAATATTGCTTCCACTTTCTCCTCTTTGGCTTCAGTAAATTCAATAAAAGACATTAAGCAAATTTTGAGTGTTGCTCAAATGAAAACATTTTTAATTTAATTTGCGGAACGGACAATTCAGAACTGTTGACCAACCAACCAGTTGTGGCCTTTATTTAATTAAAGTTCTTGAATTTCACTGCAACTAGGCCAAAACGGGTTGAATTTAAGTTGGAGTCCAGGCCCACAGCCCCGAGCCCACAAACACGAGCCTTAAGAGTCCCTTGTAAACACAATAAACAGCTCAACCGGAGGGCCTGTAGCCAGTGCACTCTAAGCACTTTTCAGTGTCAGCGTTAGACGATTTCAGGATGCAAGCTCTACGCCCAGCATTAAAAGAGGCTAGCAGGAATACGAGCAGACAAAGAGTGTCGGAAGTTCAACCAGAAGGATTAAAAGTTTTGCTCAAAAGGCGAACTAAGGCGTAGTTCAAAGGACAGTTGCCATATTTTCGACGCTATCTCTTCTGGGTGTTGTTTGAATCTCTGGACTTCTCCGTGTTCGCTATGCTGTTATGGTTTCCTGCTGCCCTAGTCAAACTTTTAGGCCAATAGCTAACAAAAAATAATCCCATTGCTTCGCATAGAAATAGTTCTGATTGGAAAAAGTTGAGCAAACAAGCTACAAGATAAATGTTATATGTTCTAAATTACTTTAAAACCAATTTCTAAAAATACGCCTGCACTCTTAATCTCTACGTTTATGCTGAAGCAAATTCGTTAAATTTAAACCCATTAAAAGGATGTGAAATTCTATGCAGACTAGCAAACTAGTGCGTAGATATTTCAACATTAAATTAAAAACGGTTTAGAGAGAATTTAAGCTAAATCCCAGAAATAAAAGAAAGTCATTTAGTCGCAATGAAACTTTGTGGTATAATTGAACACACGGTACTATCCTGATTTTCAATTAAAAATTAATATACTGTAGCAGATATTTATAATAGTTCACCTGTTTAATCAGACTAATGAGTCCCACAGCTGGAAGCATTCACATGTAAACCAAATCAGTTTGCATCCAATCAATGTGCAATCAACAAATGTCCTACAAAACTAACAGTGCTCATGCCGGTTAACAGCCCACTGTAAACTTAACAGCAAAACTGCCAGCGAAAGTGAAAGTTAGCCGGCAATACTACTTATATAGTGAGTATAAGAGAGCAGCAGTTCAAATGGATAGCTGCGAAAGAGAGACAGAGAATCACAAACCATGTGCCATTAATTGCTGAAACACTGAGAAAAATCAGCATGAGCTAGAAAGTACCAAAGCAAAAACAAATATGCCGGCAAATAAAGGCCAAATACATATCTCTTTACATTTTTATACTAATGCATAGATATACATACAAAATGACTGTTTCTCAGTCATTAAATACGGCTCTATATTTTGAAGTTTTTAATTTTATAATTTGATTTTAGTTACTGCTGTATTTTGGGAATGGGGATATTTTTGATTTAACAAGTAATTCGTATGTGAAATTCTAAAAACTTTCGAAAACTTTAAAGGATTATTATTATTATATTTAAAGTGTAGGATAGCTACACGATCGATAATAATAAATATAGCTCTAACACTAAATATGGTTAGAACGAAAACTTACAGAAGTATATTATAATAGCTTAAAACAAAATAATATATAACTAGTTTATAAACGCATTCTTTTCATTTGCCTTCATTTCAGATGCACCTCAATTACCAACTAAACTATTTTTCTTAGTGCAAATGCAGCGCAAATCATGCAAGCAGCAGCAGTGAGGAGAAAGAGAAAACGCACGAACAGATGAACAACACACGAGCATACATCTGGCCAATTTGCCGAGCCAACACGAGGCTGCGCGTCGGGGCGGCAGCTCTGCAATCGGGGGCGTCCCATGCACCACAACAACATTCGCCGGCAACTGCGGCGCGCAGTATGCAAAACAAACCCGAAACGTGCAGTTGGCATTGGCATCGCAGCGACCCGAACCGACCGCAGCAAAAAGCGTAAAGCGGCCCAAAGCAACAGTGCGTAGATCTGCCAAATCTGCGACGGCAACGACGCTGGCAGCGCTAATATAAATTAGCAGAACGCAGCGAAAATAAACAAACAATTCTGCAGGCAGTCGGACGCAGGCAGCAGCACAAATAATTCAGACAGTGAAAAATAACAGAGAAATTCGGGAAATTCGAGAAATCACAGAAGCGTTTGCCAAATATTTTGAGAACCTCAAAACTATCAAAAAAAGAAAGAAAGAAAAAAGTGCGTGCTGCTTGGGAATTGGTCAGAACGGAGTCCACAACCCGACACTAAGATGGGCCGTGTGCCAAGGCGGCAACTGGCGTCGCATAATAATGGTAAGCATCAAATACATTTGTATCTTAAGCAAGTTGTACAAGTGGGGGGATGGTTGAAGAACTCGGCCAGTCGCCAAACAATAAAAATGCCATTTTGGAAGGGTCCTGTGCATTGGAATTTATCAGATAGCTACAATTTGTACGCATAGCAATTTATAACTGTTGAATGCGAGGGTAAAGCACTGCAAATCTGATGATGATGTGGAAACTGCTTGTGACTAGAATTTACTACTAGAACGAGTAGAAGTAGTATAAGGAGAAGTAGTAGTAGCTGGGCAAGGCTTTAAAAAACTTGAAAGCAATTTACTGATTAAGATGGGTCTTAGAATAAAGTTCGAAATATAAAAATTATATTTCATTTTATAAAACTGGGTAAATCTCTTCACAATTTTCGCCTCAAAGCAAGCAAATATTTGCTTCATCCTGGCATAGTTATGGTAGCTACTCGACATGCTTATCAGCTTATTGAGTGCAGCAAGCCGCACTTGTAAAAAACTAGCCCCATTTACCAAACCGAAGCCCCATTCAGCTAGAAGGTCGTTGCACTCTCCTTGACAGACAAACAGACAGACTGAGTGACGCGTTCCCGACTGATGGTTGCTGGTTGTTGGTTGAGTCAAATGTGGAGCAGCAGCATCAGCAGCAGCAGCAAAAAGGACGACATGGGCCAACGAAGCATTCAGCAGCTGCTACGCATGTAATTTGTCAGACAGATTTCTTTTAACGTCTGCCAAGGCTCCACGCCCACTCCCATGCCGACAATCGACACCATCACACACGAGGACATTGCAACCAAAATGTTTCCTTCCATCACGGCTGACTGGCTGGCATTTGGGTATGCTTTTTGAGCCGGGACATCCAGGACTTAGGACACGACAGAACGAACAACAGACATTAACATTTCAGTGCAAATGATGTGATAAAATGTAAGAAACCAATAGTTAAGTGTGGACGACCAACAGAATCCTTATATCCTATTGCTATGCAACACAAGGATATGGAAAAATTGTATATACAAACATTTTTAGTGAAATTTGTTTCTTTACAATCTAGGAGAAGAAATTGCACTACCCAATATGTTGATGGACAGACGGCCAGCAATCACTCAGTTATTGTTCCTGATCAAGAAAAATCTCCATAAGCACAACCTTGTGCCTTCACTTAAGCAACCCATCGAATTGGTGCAGGGTAACAAGCAAATAAGGGCCACAATCGACAGCAGCTCGGGGGAAAAAAACCAAAGACCACACTTCAGCGAACCTGAAAGCCAAATTCCAGGGTTCAAATCTGCTTGACAAAGTGCATAGTAAATGCGTATAATTTGATAAAACCGGCGCCTGCCGTAAACCCTCCTTCCCTCCATCCACATATCCGCAGCAGGCAAATAGTCAACGCAAATAAATAAACAAAGTGACAAAATTTCCGTACATGTCAAAGGCATGCTTGCTCTTTAACGATAATGCTGAACATGGAAAACATTGAGCAACCGTGCTAGAAAAATGTTTTCCTAGTCGAGATGCTGTTAAATTTCTAATAGAGTTGACCAAGTCTCACTAGATTATAGCCTGGTTCCGCAAATACTGAATCAAGATTTTTCTACACTTTTTTTTTACTTTATGAAAATTATTTTTTAGGTACATAATTTAATCCGAATATTAAAATATTTATAAATTTTTTCTAGATAGAAAAACAATTTCGAAATTATAATTCAGGTTACATTAACAATGCAAAACAGTTCCATTCACTTTATAATTCAACCCGAGTTTCTTGTGTTTCATAGAATTCTAATTAGTTGACTCTTCATTAGGCTATTCCTCAGAATAATTATAATTGTAACCAGTATATCACGTACTTATCCATATTATTTGTCATATAAGCACTTTGGGTACTCATCACTTATTTAACGGTTGCACTCGCCGTCAGTTAATGAGATATTCAAAGCTGCTGCTGAAACTTTTGAAATTTTACCCCACTGCGGAAACTTTTGCAATTAATTACGAGAAGACCTTTAAACCGATCTATGAACGGGATTCGAAGGGTAGGTTGCACGTGGCAGGTGGCAGCGGCAATGATATACTTGAACTATTATGTATTAAAGCTTTGGCGTCGGATATAGGGCAATTAGATAAGATAAGCACATTCAAGCTACCGCAATTAGTTGCTACTCGTAAATGAAAAGTGAAATGCAGCCAACACAAGCGCAAATAAGGGCAGCAGGAATCTAGAGGCATGGACCGAAGAGCTAAATCATATCCAGCTGTGCATACAGCCCTTAACTTTCAAGGCAAACATTTCAACATGGCCTACTTGTCCGAATTAATGAGACACGAACCACCCAGACTCAAATAATATATTGACGATAAACTAGTAATGAGAAGTAATGAGAATCCAATAGCCATTCGGCCCAACTGATAATATGACCCACTATAAATTATTTATTCGCAGTTGAAAGGGTTCCTTGAAGGCTAGAAGCCGCCATGTGCTAAAGTGGCAACAGAGTGTTTGGAAAACTATACGTAGATGGAGCAAGATGCAAAAACAAAGTAGAATTTTTGCTTTCATTGCCATCATTGTTTTATATTTTTTAGCATAACCAAACAACGATGGCAAGAAAAGCAAAGAAGCCAAAAATATGTATTAAAAGTGTTGGTAAAAAGCAAACAAAAACCTTTGCTAGACAGAAAAGCGAAGAGCAGAAAATTTCCTAATATTTTTTACATCAAAAGTATTGCACTTGAAATATGATGTGAGAGGTTCTTATGCATACGACAGCGGGAAAAACGTTATGTAGATACTTAAAGGAAAGTGCTGAATGATTTTTGAAATTAAATTCCTCGGTAAATTAATTCTTTAAATAGTCCTTCTGTCAAAGAGCCAAAGCTATCGTAATTTTCTGCAAAAACGTAAAATACATCTACCTTTATTTTTTTATTTCGTAGTTATTGTAACTCTGGCAAGTTTGAAATAACATATTTACAGAGAAAAATCCAAGTCAAGCACACTGAACTGCTTCCTGTTGTGATTCTTAGAGTGGAATGAAGCATTTCACTGCCAAAGTTCTCTAAAAATGAAATGGAAATAGTTTTACAATATTAAGATCTCTTGTGGTTAATAAGCATGTGGGGAACGTCAACATTTTTATAACAAATTTCTAAGAATTCTTCAAGTCATGCCAGTGCACAGTGAACATTATGTCCCCTGTTGTCGCACCTGCGTGCACATGCAGAGCCAACCCAACTAAGTTTCTTTTTTTTTTGCCTTCAAACTTGCCACAACTTTTTCATCAAGTTGTCGTCAACCATTTGCACCACCCAACGCTGCAGTTTGCAACTGTATCCAGTTACGATAGAGCTCCCAGCCCGTTGCCATGATTAATGTTCAAATTAAACAACGCCAGGCTGACGTTAATGACGACAAAAGCGAAGCAGCGACAACAATAGAGAGCTAACAAAAAAATATGGAAAAAAAAACGTGGCTGAAAAGCCAGGCAAAGTGCTCGTCACATAACAAAACTGAAAAAATATTACCATAAACAACAAAGGGTTACATGATGATAATGAATGCCCAACAGTCGGGTGACTCAGTGCCGGATTTGGGATTCAAGTAAACCCAATATATTTGTATGAAAACTATCTAAACGTAGCTATTATTATCACAGCTCTTGCTAGGTAAATTACTATAATTTTTATTTGATACAGTAATTCAATATATAGCGTCAAATTGAACTAATCAATCACATAAAAGCCTGATCAATTAAATACTCCATTAGTTGTGTCAGATATCATAGAGTTTGATTAGTTTTCATCTGAAATGCTCTAGGCCCACCTTCCCACCGTCCATATGAGTCATGCGATCAATTTCGTTCCGCTTCCGTTTCGATTTCACAATTCAATTAGCGACCCAATGACGAAATGAATGATTGTCCATGAAATGGAGGTGACAGACAGAGTCCCCAGTCAACTTAGTCATTATTGATTAGATTTTCTGGAATGAAACCAAAAAAAGAGGAAAAGACTCCAACATCGGTGTGCAGCGCTGATATGATACGATGCCAGTGCTGCATAGCACTGTTTGTGCCGTCATGAAAAAATATCAATTAATTAATGGCATGATTTAGTGTTAATTGAGCGTCAATGCATTACATTATGGATGTATGTGTTCAGGCGTCAGTCGTAGCCCTCCCTGGGAGCTGCCATCTTGGCCCGCTCTCACTACACGCTTGGCTGCTGCTGTAAAGTAATCAATTTAAATTGGATGTACATCATATTTTCATTGCTTCTGCTTAAATGAACTCATAAAATAATTGAACAACAAATGGCTGCAGGAAATTGTTGAGGGGGTATTGCGTGTATTGTCTAGGTTGGTCATGGCTACAAATATTAAAAATACTTCAATGAGCATTGTGAGAAAAGGCAAACAACACAAACAACAAAGCTGAGTGCACAAATTGGATAAACAAAAAAGGGGAAAAAATTAATAGAAATCGACTGCGAAATATCCTCACAAAAATAAAATATAAGTTTGTATTGGACTTAATTCAGTTGATAAAACTTATATTTGATTAGATGCCAACTAAAATATATATGCAAGAAACATAAAAGTACACAAAATGACCTAAATATTGCTTTAAAGTGATACTTAATTGCAGTGAATATATTGGAAATTATTATGGGTAATAAAAACATATCTTAGAAGGAAAAATTTCCCTTATCCTGAAGCAGAGTTTATAACCAAACAAAACCAAAGACAGTTGATAAAATTGGAGAAAAGAAGAGTGTAGCTTATAGCTATTTATAAGAACAATGCACAGTAGCTTTGGTTTATTTTCTTTATCAGCCACTTGTAACTGTGACATTCACATTGTGCGCGAAATTAAATATTCCCAATTTCGGCCAATCGATTGCTGGGTATACAAACTTGGCCGACTGTCATAATTAAATGAATAAATAACGCCGATGGCTGACTAAGTGCATGAAAGCATTGTTGACCTAGTGCCATTG